ACTCCAGTCACTAAAGTTTGTGGACTGACTCCAAAATACAGTGAATAGTTTTTGTCCCTTAACTCAGGAAAGATATACTGGCATTGGAGGCAGTCCAGAGAAGGTTCACTTGTTTGATCCTGGTTGTGGAGGGATTATCTTAAGAGGAAAGAGGTTGAGTAGGTTGGGCCAGTACTAACTCAAATTCAGAAGAATTTGAAGCAACCTTTTGGAAACATAAAAGATTATCAGAGGAATTGACAGGATAGATGCAGCAAGGTTGTTTCTCTTTGTGAGGGAGTCCAGGAGCAGGCAGCATCATCTCAAAACAAAGGCGTCACCAACTTAAGACAAAAGATGCAGAGGAATTTCTTCTCTCAGAGGATAGGGAATCTATAGAATTCTTTACCACGTGGATGCTGAGTCATTAAGTATATTCAAGGCTGAGATAGATTTTTAAATCAATAAGGGAGTCAAGGGTTGTAAGGCAAAGGCAGGGAAGTGGAGTTGAGCATTATCAGATCAGCTGGGATCTCATTGAATGGTGAAGGAGTTCAAGGGGCTGAATGGCCTACTTCTGCTCCTACGTTTTATGGTCTGCTGGCCTTCAGAGATCTCAAACAATTCTTTGAAATGCCTTGTTGCAATCGGATTGTTCCGTAGCTTTAGCAGAAGCAAAGTTTCCTCAGAGCCAGCCAAGCACATCTCTGCATTTTTACTAAGCACCACTACTTGAGAGTTGAAATTAATTGTTGATATTTATATACCAGGAGTGTCACTGACGTTTTTCCATTCACTCCTTTAATCAAAGAAGACTTACATTTATATAATTCCTTTCACGATCCCAGAATGTCCCAAAGCACAGTCAATAATAATGAAGCATAGCCTCACGCAATATTGGAAAGGCAATTGTTAATATAGATACAGACAAATTTCTCAAAAAGCAATGGGATAACAATCAGATTATTTGCGTGGGTTCGGGGAAGAGTCATAATGCACTCAAAACATTAACGCTGTTTCTCTCTGCACAGACCTGCCGAGTCTCTCCAGCAATTTCTGTTATTATTTCAGATTTGTAGCATCTTAAGTTATCACCTTTATTAATGTTGGTTGAAGGATAATTATTTGCAGGGGCACTAGGAAGATAGCCCCCTCTTTTCCTCAAGTAGAAGATGTGCCTGTGACGACAAAGAGGCTGTACCTCCAACAATGCAGCACTCCCTTGGTACTTACTAGGGATTCAACCCAGATTCTGTGTTTAAGTACGTGGAGTGGGACTTAAACACAAAATCTTCTGTTGTGATGTGAGGTTGCTTTTGCCGATAGCTAATGGAACCGCAAATGCATTAGATGTAGTCTGTTAAAATAGTGGGTGGGAGAATTTCACAGAAATTAGTTAAGTGTTCCTCCACCAATATCTGTTCCCGTAATTTCTAAGCTTATGTCATTATCACTGATCTTGGCTGCTCTGGGAATAACACTGTCAAAACGATTTGTAGGATAAGTGCTTTGCAGCCAAGCTACTTTCATTTAGCATCGCTTCTGATGTGCAACTAATTGCAGCCGGTTGTTTGTGTGGGTCATAGCTGGAAGGGGTCCTGCAGGGAGGGGAATGGGTGTAGGAAGTGGAAAGCTGTCCCTGTACTTGTAATGCAATACATCACTATCACAGTCACTCGAACATTATTATGCTGCCCACATTTCAAACATTCTTAATTGGCTGCAAAGGTGATGAGTATCACAAATGATTCAATTAAGAATAACTTAATGTTTCTTATTTTATTTAATGTTTCTGCAACAGTTTCACAGTCAAAGTCGCTGCTCCGAAAGCTTGTGATTTTAAATAAACCAGTTGGACTATAACCTGGTGTCGTGTGACTTCTGACCTTGTCCACCCCAGTCCAACACCAGCACCTCCACATCACATCAATAACTGGGCAGACGATCACTATTCACTCAGATCCTTTCAGAAGCCAAAGGTTTCCCAGCCTCTGCAATATTTTCAGTGTGATTGTGCGTCAAAGTAGTTTATATGCACCCAGCATAGGGATGTGTTGCACAGTCTTACAGTGTGCCAAAACATTTCCACTGGGCATTAATCACCATTGGGGCGGGGATTTGTGAAGCTGTACAGTGGTGTCTGCATGCAAAAGGGGGATGATTGTTTTCAATGCACCCAGCAATACCCGTCACTACGCTGTGTGCATCTCTGCTCCCTGCATGCAGCAAACAATTTCAGCACATTCCAGAAAGCAGAACTGCATCTCCGAGTTAGCAACCGAGGATCAAAGTGAGAATATAAAATTTGAATGAAGGAAAGGCCATACACTCCAATGAAGTGCCTTCATTTACACTCTGTATATCTGACTCAATTCCTTCCCACTTGACAGATTGAAACTCTCTTCCTAATTACTAAGTGATTTAAACAGATCAATTGACATCTACATAACTATTAAACCCCTTTCCTAAATGGACTATTGACCCAGTTCCCTTTCCAAGGTGTCAAGTGATCCAGAATCAACAACCCCTTCCTATCTGTTTCCTCCACATGCACTGTCTCTGATCCCACACCTTGGCGTTTCAGAGTTCCAGAATGCACAGCATCTCTGGGGAGATCTTGCCACCGATATTAAACTTGCAACTGAACATCTCAAAGGTGTTCTGTTTATTCATTATCACTTGGTTGTTTGTGGGAACTTGCTGTGCCCAAATCGTCTACCTCGTTTCCCTACAACAGTGACTACAGTTCAAAACTAAAGTACTCCATTGGCTGGAAAGTGGCAAACCTGAAACGTTGAATGGTGCTATATAAATTCAAGAGTTTTCTTTTCAGAAAATTACCTGCTTAACCTTTTCCAGATGGTGACAGGATCCAACCTGTTTGATGAGCTGTGATGGCGTGTGTTACAGTTCATTCAGGGTTGGTGTTGCTGTGACAACATGCATATTTTGGAGCTATAGATAGCGATGGTACAGACTCCAACTACCATTCTCTATCACAGAAGGCTGTAGAGGGCAAGTCACTGATTATATTCAACATAAAGATAGATTTTTTTAGATTTTAAGACCATAAGATATAGGTTCAGAATTAGGCTATTTGGCCTATTGAGTCTGTTCCACCATTCAATCATGACTGATATGTTTCTCTGACACAGTCTCCTGCCTTCTCCCCATAATCCTTGATCCCCTTACTAATCAAGAACCCCTCCATGTTGGTCTTAAATCCTCTCAATAGCTCGGCCTCCAGAGCCTTCTGAGCTCCACAGACTAACTACTCTCTGGTTGAAGAAATTGCTCCTCATCTCAGTTCTAAAGGGTCATCCCTTCACTCGGAGGGTATACCCACAGGTCCTGGTCTCTCCTACTAGTGGAGATATCTTCTCCACATCCAATCTATCCAGGGCTTTCAGCATTCTGTAAGTTTCAATGAAATCCCCCCCAATCTTCTAAACTCCATCGAGTACAGATCCAGAGTCCTCAATCACTCATCCTACGACAAGTCCTTTACCTCCAGGATCCATTCCTGTGGAGTGTCTCTTCACCCTGTCCAAAGCCAGCACATCTTTTCTTACATATGGAGGCCAAAACTGCTCACAATATTCCAAATGCGGTCTCATCTGAGCCTTATACAGCCTCAGCAGTACATATCCGCTCTTGTAAGGGCATTAAAGGTATGAGGAGAAAACAGGAATTTGGATTGAGATAGAGGATCATATTATATGAATCATGATCATATTGAATGGTGGAACAGGCTTAAAGGGCTGAATGGTCTACTCCTGTTCATAGTTTCTATGTTTCATTCCATCACCTGCCTGACTCCTACCACTTGCTCATTGGTGTGTGCTTAGCTGCTTAAGCAGACGTTCCTCAGCCATCCAGTCTTGAGTTTGGGGCTCGAGCCCAGAGGGAGAATCACTGAACGTCCTGTACTACAAGCTGGGCCAGCAAGGTCAGTCACCATAGCTACAGAAAAGGGGCAACATCTCAGCTCAGACCTTCACCGCAAAGATGACGTGAAACACACAGGCGGTCTTTTCTCCAAAAGGATGCTCAGTCCAGCTTTTTCAGCTGATTCTAGAGCGGAGGCTGGCTGAAATATTCCACAACACAGTACGAGAGGGAGCTGCCAATTGGAGCAAAAAGACCAGTGCGTATCAGATATGTCACCAATCTCCATTCTTGAAAGATCTACCTCATCGTACACAACTGCTACTCCCAACAAGACAATGCCTACTGATGACCTACTTAAAACACTCAGCCATCCTCATTCAAGGTTTTCCTTTCCTAACTACTTTCTTTTTTAAAAAGAGAAATAAATAAGACTAACTGTTTATTAAGCACATTTAGGAGATGCAGTATGGCTAGGACCAGACCCTTGGATAGATAATATGTTTTTGAATAGTAGTTAACCTGTCCGCCTGTTAACCGAAATGGCTGGGCTCATTAACCCTTTCATTGAGGTTGGGGTTTAATTCTCTTCAGGGGCTGGCGGGGGGTGGAAGGTTGAGAAGAGGTGTCATTGCAGATTTCACCCGGAGGCAAAAGAAAATGTTTGTTTTCTCTCTCTCCCTTCCTCAGAACACGTCAGAACAGATAATAATGAACTGACTGAAGCTACAAACATTCAATCCAACCTGTATAACCCTATTGGCAGACGACAAATTGACAGCCAGTTCGATTTGAAGACTGTTAACAATTTACCCCGGGCTCCCTCCACAACGAGACCCCCTGCATATATCCTGTATTTAATGGTACAATGTACAACCCTCTCCCTGAAACGACAGGTGAATGCATACACGCATGGAATATTGTTGCACGTCCAAAATAATTACAATTCCACCATTTATTCTTTCTCTAATGAGTTTCCCCTCCAGCTAAATTCATCCGCTCTTCAAATCATTGTCATTTGCAATTATTTTCTGAGCATCTTTTTTTTAAAATATAAATTTAATGGTAATAGCGGGTCAGTTTTCCTGGTCCCTATCAGTGGGGTTGATTGAAATTCCAAATGGAACACTCACGTCTCTGAAGCGGTTCCAGTCTTTGATCTGCCGGCTGTACTGAGAGACTCCAGACAGCCATTGCTCATCCTCCAGGAAATTGCCCTTATTGCCCCCTTTCTCGGGATTGTCCTTGTCCACTGCCCCGGCCAGCAGCAGAGGGATCAGCAGAAAGTTCAGTGGCTTCAGCATTCTCCGAGGCCTAAGTGATGCGACTGGTCCCGCAGGTTGGTCGCTGTGAAATGCGAGCTGATTATATCGGCGACTGTGTCCCCACCCCCTCGCTCTCTCTAATCTGAGACTGTGCGAGCCTGCGCCACATTATATACAGCATCCATACCACACTCACACACACACTAGTAGGTACACACACACACACACACACACAGAAGGTACACAGAGATACACACAAACACTGGTAGGTACACACAC